CTTTATTGATGTGTTCGTTACAGTGTGATGAATTGTCGATTTATAGTCAGATCTATGGATTCCTATGAGTCTTTTGCTGCATAATTTTGTTGGGGAACGTAGTAATTTCAAAATTTTCCTACGCACACGCAAGATCATGGTGATGCATAGCAACGAGAGGGGAGAGTGTAATCTACATACCCTTGTAGACCGAAAGCGAAAGCGTTAGCACAACGCGGTTGATGTAGTCGTATGTCTTCACGGCCCGACTGATCAAGCACCGAAACTACGGCACCTCTGAGTTCTAGCACACGTTCAGCTCGATGACGTCCTTCGAACTCCGATCCAGCCGAGTGTCGAGGGAGAGTTCCGTCAGCACGACGGCGTGGTGACGATCTTGATGTTCTACCGTCGCAGGGCTTCGCCTAAGCACCGCTACAATATTATCGAGGAGAACTATGATGGAGGGGGGCACCGCACACGGCTAATAGATCTCAAGGATCAATTGTTGTTGTGTCTTTGGGGTGCCCCCCTGGCCCCATATATATAGGAGCAAGGGGGGAGGTGGCCGGCCTATGGAGGAGGCGCACCAAGGGGGGAGTCCTACTCCCACCGGGAGTAGGACTCCTCCTTTCCTTGTTGGAGAAGGAAAGAGGAGGAGAGGGAGAAGGAAAAGTGGGCTGCCCCCCTTATCCAATTCGGACCAGAGGGGGGGCGCAGGCCTCCTTCCTTTTGGCCACTCTCCTCTATTCCCGTATGGCCCAATAAGGCCCATATACTCCCCGGCGAATTCCCGTAACTCTCCGGTACTCCGAAAAATACCCGAATGACTCGGAACCTTTCCGAACTCCGAATATAGTCGTCCAATATATCGATCTTTATGTCTCGACCATTTCGAGACTCCTCGTCATGTCCCCGATCTCATCCGGGACTCCGAACTCCTTCGGTACATCAAAACTCATAAACTCATAATATAACTGTCATCGAAACCTTAAGCGTGCGGATCCTACGGGTTCGAGAACAATGTAGACATGACCTAGAACTATTCTCGGTCAATAACCAATAGCGGAACCTGGATGCTCATATTGGCTCCTACATATTCTGCGAAGATCTTTATCGGTCAAACCGCATAACAACATACGTTGTTCCCTTTGTCATCGGTATGTTACTTGCCCGAGATTCGATCGTCGGTATCAAATACCTAGTTCAATCTCGTTACTGGCAAGTCTCTTTACTCGTTACGTAATACATCATCTCGCAACTAACTCATTAGTTGCAATGCTTGCAAGGCTTAAGTGATGTGCATTACCGAGAGGGCCCAGAGATACCTCTCCGACAATCGGAGTGACAAAACCTAATCTCGAAATACGCCAACCCAACATGTACCTTTGGAGACACCTGTAGTACTCCTTTATAATCACCCAGTTACGTTGTGACGTTTGGTAGCACCCAAAGTGTTCCTCTGGTAAACGGGAGTTGCATAATCTCATAGTTACAGGAACATATATAAGTCATGAAGAAAGCAATAGCAACATACTAAACGATCAAGTGCTAAGCTAACGGAATGGGTCAAGTCAATCACATCATTCTCCTAATGATGTGATCCTGTTAATCAAATGACAACTCTTTTGTCCATGGCTAGGAAACATAACCATCTTTGATAAACGAGCTAGTCAAGTATAGGCATACTAGTGACACTATGTTTGTCTATGTATTCACACATGTATTATGTTTCCGGTTAATACAATTCTAGCATGAATAATAAACATTTATCATGATATAAGGAAATAAATAATAACTTTATTATTGCCTCTAGGGCATATTTCCTTCAAATTTATAGACATATATGCTCGTCGGTATATTAGTCTTGCACTGACCATGTGTTAGATGAATGATCTTCAAGAGAGGTGTGTATGTTAGCTGTGTTTAATCTTGCAAGCAATCTATCGCAGTGACGGAAGGTGGAAAAAGATTGTATTGTGTTGTTGCACTAAGGACAAAAAGATAGTTGTGTAGTTTTCCTTTTAAATGTAGAATGAAGACAATATACTACCCACATCATGTTATCATACTTAATGCAATACTATGTTTTACTTAATACTTTGAGATGCATGCTGGATAGCGGTCTTTCGGTGGAGTATTAGCTATAGTTGTTGTTGGATTAAAGATCTAGGGAAATTTGGATGTGATGCCTATATGCAATTATGCCATGTATAGTCATACTCATAAAAACTACAAATTAATCGATGCCCAATTGTAATTTGTTCACCACACCATGTTATCTTTTATTGGAGAGATGTCACTAGTGAAAATCCATTCATCCATATTTCTTTCAACCTTGATCAAAAGCTTATGCAGTTCCTTGCTTTTATTTTGTTTGCTGCAATCAATATTTCCAAACACAAGTTGCAGGGCCGAGTCAAATCCTATATTTGTGTGTGCAAGTACTAACCATTGGTGGTGATTCAAAACTCATATTGGTTCGATAAATCTCAAGGCCATCCACTTGAGGGAAAAATGTTGCATGCTACAAACCTTTGGATTTTGGGGCTAACACCTTTCTAAATTAGACAATACCCCGCGCGTTGTAACGGGAAGGTAGTGTAATAAATAATTTGAAAGAGAGGGGCACACAATAAGGGGAAAAAGAGTAAGCAAATAAAAATAAGAAATGTTTTGCAGTGGAAGATGGCCTGGATTTAATATGTAACTCTGAAATAGAGTAGTGAGGATAACACTCTCCCCGCGCGTTGATGCGATAACTTTGTTAATAAATGCATAAGTAGTTGACAAAAATAAATAAATCAAATGAAAAAAAGTATAAGCTTGAAAACCAATAAAAAAGTGTCTAAAAATAGAATAAAAACTTTTGAATTACCATTAAAAATGTCATTTCAAACAAAAATATGAAGGATGACAAACATGAATATATGATGTGGTAGCATTACATGCATGGACTAGTGCATTTTTTTTCATAGTTTATAAGATAAATGCATGACTCGCTTATGTGGCAGATTTTGCATGGCTTAGTGGGAGAGAAGACTTAAATGCATTGCTTAGTGGGGCATTGAGGTGGACACTTTACATGTTGAGAGAATTGAGACCAACTTCTTAAGAACGTATATAAGTTAAATGCATGACTCGCTTATATGGCAGATTTTGCATGACATAGTGGGAGAGAAGACTTAAATGCATTGCTTAGTGGGACATTGAGGTGGACACTTTGCATGTTAACAGAATTGAGACCAACTTCTTAAAAATGTAAGATTAGAGGAAGCACGCAACCCCTAGACAGGGCTAGGTGGGGAGAACCATATTCCATTTTCAAGGAGCCGTCGCCGTCTCGTCTAACTGAGCAAGACACAGACCCTAACTAAACTAAAAAAAACACCTGAAAAGGAAGCCCTTCCACCCGCAAGAGTTGGGATCCACCGCGCCCCATGACCATAGGACCATATGATACGAGACACATCGGCAGTGATACTATGTTGAAACTCGGTCATATTTCAATTGTGAAGTGCTATGTTCATATGATAAAGCAGGGGATTTTTTTTTTCTTCCAAAACAACACTTTTGGGGTTTAAGTTTTGGGCAACAATTAGAAACAACCCCAATATCTAAGACTTTTTGAAATCTCAGTTTTGAGATGGCTTTTTTGGATTGAAGTTTTTAGTTGTTCTTTTTTTCCGGGTGTTTTTAGATGTTCTTCGCTAGGGTTATCATAGGACTACCCACCCCCTCTCCGCTTCCTCTCTCTCTCGCCCCCGACTCCCACCTGTCGTCCCAATCTCTCACCCTTACGCCGCGGACCCCCTTCTCTCGCCGCCCCGCCGCCCCGCGAGTTCCGTCGCCGCTGTTGCCCGGTCGGTCGTCGAACGCCGCCCCGTCACCGTTGCGAAACTCCACTCCTGCTCCGTCTCCGACCTCCACGCCTGCTCCGTCCCCGACATCGACACCGTATCCCGCCTCTCCCATCTGCCACCTCAACCGCCGGGAGCGCCTCCCTCGCCGGCCTCCACTGCCCCTCCGCTACCTCATCCGCCAATAGCGAGAAGGTGAAGCTCACCTCTGCCCCCCAACCCCGGCTCCCTGCTATGTATTTTTTTTTTCTTCTGTGTGTGAATTTCTATGTTTGCATACGAAGTAGAACACCTTTTTTTTATATTGCGGAAATCGATGGACATCTGTTACTGTCTGCATATGCAGTATTGTGTACGTATGGGGAATCTGATTGTGCAAATGTTGGAAAATTCGTTTCATGCTTTATCAAGTTTGCCATTATTATCTTAAAAAGATGAAACATCGATATGTTTCTATTCGTTTAGATGACAACAACCAATTGTGAGAGGAGCCGGCTTAGTTGCTGTAATGTGTGCTTACATGCTACGAAGAGCCAGGGAACGCACCTTGAGGATAAGAATTGGCCATATGGTTGATAATGATATAGCTAGGGAGTCAATTTTGAGATATATCATTCTACTGGCAAAAATCCTCATACCAGCTTAGAATGACAAGGGCTCCTTTTTTCTGTTTGTGTACTTTCTTAAGAGAGAGACAATTGTTGAATGATAGCATACGTACTTCTATCAAGGAACAAGCAAGCAGCAATGTTTTTCTAGTAGTTGGTCACAACCATAGATTGATAGCATGTTTCTGTCTTAAGAGTATCAGGGATTGAAGGCGCAAATACCATGGAATGTGGATAGCCATGTCCATGTGTCGTACCTGTTTTACTGTTAATCTCTTCAAAAGATTGTTTTCTGCAAGCACGTGCACCTAAAACCTTTTCGTTCTGATATGCATGAAGTACCAAAGCAGTTAGTTTGGTCTACAGTACCTCATCTTCATTGCAATTCGAAGGCAAGGCTCAAGCCTTCTTAGAAGTGAAAGCCAAGCAAATGCATATATTACTTCTCAGTTCTCACTTGCTTGATTTAATTTGGAATACAAGACATTGCTGTTATCCTGTACTTACCTTTTTCTCTCCTAATATAGGACCTGTTCGTTGGGTACTGCCATCGATGGAGAGCAGTGAACCACTCCAGGTAAAGTTAAGCGTCAGTTTTTGTTGTTTCTCCAAATACTGCTGATACGGATTGGTGTATTGTTCTTCACGAAACGGTAGGATAACAAGTCTATCCTATCTGAGAACAAGCACCACACAATATCGTCTTTGGGAGACAAACTCAAATCTACCAAACTCTTAATTGACATTCTCTCGCATTGCATACTTAACAATTTCGCTTTACTTATGTATCCAATATATGTATCAAAAACTATTTTAGTGACACTTAGATTTGTAAAGTATTTATATGCGTAACCCTTGCGGATACATGGGTTGATGGCAGTTTCGCATCACTTATCTGTCATTAGTCAGAATCTGAATGCTCTCATTTTTCTCCAGAAAAATGTGTTATGTTTCTCTTTATATTCATACCATAAGATGTGTTTCTGTTATTCATTTATGTACCTTTGATGCATTTCTCAGGATATAATGTGTGAGTTCCGTGCTGGTAAGATGTCTCTTGAGGGAACACGGGTGGTCCCAGACACACGCAAGGGGCTTGTTCGTATTGGAAAGGTATGCATGCTCTCATTTCTATGTGTCTCTAGTACTCCCTCCGTTCGGAATTACTCGTCCAAGAAATGAATGTATCTAGATGTATTTTAGTTGTAGATACATTCATTTTTGTGGCAAGTAATTCCGAACGGAGGGAGTACAATTTATATATTGTCAGCACAGTTTCCAAGGCATATACATATTCTAATATTTATCGGTTATTCAAATGTAATTATATGTCCACTTCTTTTGTAGGGTGAAGAAGGCTTGATTCATTTTCAGTGGCTTGACCGTGGACAAAACATAGTTGAAGATGTATCCTCTTGTGAGCATGCATTTTTAGACATCTCTTACTAAATTTAATTTATAAATGCTAAATTTGGTCGTTTGATATATAATCGATTGAAAGTTTAATTTGCAGAAATTATGTGTTTATATGTTTGTAGTCCCAAGGTCCTTGATGGACTTATGTTTAAACTTGGAAGTGTCTCTATTTTGTCCCACTTTACATTCTATTCTATTATATGTTTGTCTTCTGTCTATCCTTGATTCCATTTCTCCCAGGATCAAATTGTCTTCCCTGATGAGGCTGTCTTTGAGAAGGTATATATATATATATGAAATATATATATTATTCAAGTTTGATATGCTCTCCAAGATTACTTTTGCGAACTATGGAACCTCAGTGATCAACATTGGCTCATGTCATTAGGTAACAGAATCTTCTGGAAGGGTGTACATCTTGAAGTTCAGGCATGATAGCAGGAAATTCTTCCTATGGATGCAGGTCGGTTAGATGTAAAGAACTCTGTTGTGAAAACCATTACCCTTGCCACTCTCTAACAACTGATTTCCATTGTGCTCGTTATTATGCAGGAGACAAATGCTGATGGGGACTCGCAAATATGCCGCCAAGTTAATGCCTACATAAATCGGCCCTTGGGTATGCTTTGATCGTTTGGTTCCTAACTCTCAACTGTGATCATGTCTTAAGGTGTACTGTTGTGCAGATGGCGATGCAATTTCTATTGAGGCAGAAATGTCACACGAGGATACAGCTGATGATGACATCTCTTCCAGGTATGTGAAATGAAATGCTAGATCTGATGCTGTCTGAGCACATGTATTTTCTTCAGCCTTTGCAATGCAATGGGCAGCCAAGTCAACTTTTAGACGGTTCCGTATTTAGGCTCGTTTTGTCATTGTTATTTTTGCTCTGAAAAAGTTTTGAAAATCTACTACTATATTCAGTAAATCAGATTGAACTTAGATAAATTCTGTTATTCAGTTACTCTCTCCTTGCATTTCATTCCATTTGATAAATTCTCCAACACAGTACTATTATTTGTCTGCAACTTGACTAAGAGGGAAAAAAACTAGCCTAAAAGCGTTTGAACCAAATGAGACTATCAGAATCCACCGCAATACCAAATGTTGTATTAATCTCGATTTTCAGATGGAAATCATATCACCAGATGTATGTATGGCCAAACTAAACTAAGTATATTTGTTCACATACAAGATATTGCCACCTACACCTGTATGCTTTACAGTTGCATGGTCTACTAAGCACAAGTACCGACTTTTGGGTGCTGTTGCCAAATTGCTAACACTATGCCCTTGCTGTTTCCTTCTTTCTTCCGTGTATATTTCAGAGCTGGGAATTTAGTTGATCAGAGCATGACCGCTGATATGGCTGGTGAAGTGACTTCTGCCGCTGGACCTGTACGACTGGCTGACCTTCAGAGAATATTGAGTTCTATACAACCATCTGGTATGAGCTAAAAATCATGTCCTTTTTCTGTATGTTCACTTGTTTGACTTGCTTCTGAAACGCTTACGTCGATTCTCTTGGCAATTTCAGATGCTACGGCAGATCCTGATGCTGGTAAGTGGTATTCTGAATCAATGTGCTTTTGTCTATGGCCTGCTTTCTGTTTCATTATGTTGGCTTGCTGGTGACAGGATTGAGACTAGGAGACATCTTGAAGCCCGATTTGATATTGCCACTAATTGAAACTTTGCCCATCGAACAGTTGGCATCACATCTTCCAGAGGTTTGTATTGGTTATCCTTGCTTTCAGTTCAACTGAACCCTTTACTCATTCTGGTAACTGCTCGATTCCAGGGTTCTTGGACTGCTGGTGATATTCTTGAGCTGCTGCAAAGTCCTCCTTTGCGACAGCAACTGGATGCTTTTACTCATGTTAGTTACAGTTACCCCTCTTTCCTCTTTCTGCTGCACATTTATGTGCCTGATGGTGTTTCAAGAGTCACTCTGATAATGATGTTTGCTTGTTTTGCAGGTGCTGCAGACTGGCCAAATAGATCTTGCTCAATTTGGGGTGGACCCTAGCAAATGTAACCTTTTATGTTCCTTTAGCCTACAACTTAACTTTTAATTTATATGCCCTTAAATGGTCTTGACAAAGTTACACGTGCATGTATTATGAGCTTTGCAAATGCTTGTACCACCATTTTCTCTTGCTCATCCTATATAAGTTACAGTGGGGAGTGGGGAAAATGTATTGATGGTGAGGAAGTTCTTATATCTGTTTTTACCATGGCGTCCCCATAAAAATCATATAAAAGATAGTTTGGGCATGAGATGACTATGGTACATACTTTTAGTTAGAAAGACTTTATATTGTTTCTTTTTTTTTCCTACTCTCCTGTGCTCCCACTTGTTGGATGACAAGTATATGATGGTTGAAGTGTACTAGAGAGGTGATAGGGTTTCGGTTGTGATTGGCCTGTGCTTTTTAAGGACATGTTTGCTTTGCATGCACACTTTGCCAACTGTTAGGCACACAAAATTTGGTACTCCCTCTGCAAAGAAATATAAGAGCGTTTAGATCACTAAAATAGTGATCTAAACGCTCCTATATTTCTTTACAGAGGGAGTGAGTGTTCAGTCGTAGCCACAGTTATAGCATGCACACTTTCTTAGCATCTTACCCCATTTGTCATAAGACTCATATCTAGCCAACTTTTGCCACAACTGTGACTACTAATTTGGCGACCTCAACTATGACTTGCCACTTGTGGCACAAAAGTATGGTAGAGTGTGGAAGGCAACCAAACCTTTGTCTCCATGCTTTTAGGCCATCTTTCTTTTTACCATATGATCCGACTGTTAAAAGTAGCCCATCGATGTAGCGCTTTGGTTGGAGACTTCTTCACATGGCTCTAACATTTAGCAATGCAAAGTGCATGATGAGTTAATTACAAACCTGTGTGGCATAGTTACTCTTTTGGGTACATCTCAGTAGCTTTATTCCTCTGGATTTCTGAAAAAGCATTAGAACAGTTTTATCTTATTCCGTGTGGATGTCTGTCATCTAGGAGTTGTTGTCTATGGTTTTAGCTTTACTGTGGAAATGACCATTGCAAAGAGTATGAGTTTTATTTCACTGGCAGATGCCAACCATGAACCATCCATGATGCTAGTACCTGAACCTTTAAAGTGGTTCTGTGCAAGTTCTGAAATTGGAGTTAGATATCCCATGTCTGAGACGCTTAATCTAGTTAGTGTTGGGGGATCATTATTGGTACTCCCTCTGTAAACGTTTATAAGACGTTTTAGGTCACTAAAGTAGTCTTATAAAAGTTTACAGATGGAGTACTGCTTAGGATATCAACCAAAGTTGCTTCTTTGAAAACTAATTCTTTTGTTGTTGTGTTTCTGACAGATAAGTTCACAGTTGCCTCATTCCTGGAGGCATTGGAAGACTCCGTGGCAAAAGCTTCCACAGATGGAGGCAATGATTCAAAGGCCAAGAAAGACGGTGGAAATGATCCCATGGACGAGAGTTGATTGCGCAGCGCACCTAGGGGTGTAGCCTTGATCTGAGTTGCTCATGCCGTCATACGCAGTGGAACTTATCATGTTTGCAAATCTGATGGCACACAAAGCAAAGGACGTTTTTTGTCACCCCATCAAAATCTAGATGCTATTTTGGCTGTGAATTCTTAGATACTATCAGTCGCTTCATATGTCCCAGTTGATTCCATGTCGTGACTTGAGTATTCTGAAAAATGCTTCCATAGGTTCCAGTTGGTACAATTGCGTGACATGGATATATTTTGAAAATTGCTTCCGAGGTTCTTCTAGCTGGCATTGTTGCGCGACATGAATATATATTCGTATAATTTATATTCTGAGCTGTGCCTGTGCACCGTATAGTTGGCCTTGGTCTCCGTCGAACGAAAATTGGATAACACAGTAGTGTGGTCTGCAAGATGTCCCTGTAAGGGGCTTGTTCATCCCGGGAAAAAGTATCCGGTGCTCCCAGCCTTAGGATATTCCTGGTACTCCAATGTCAAAAAACATTGTTTTTAATGTTCCAAAAAATTCCAAAAAAATGGTGGATGCTATAATGAATGTGACTACAAACAAAAATGTGTAATCTAGCATGAATAGTGTAAAGAAAAGACAAAAGCAACATTGACACTATTGAGATCTGGACTACTCTTTTTTGTTTCTTAATGTACATTTCGATTTTGGACCTGAAATTTTTAGGGGATATAGTGACATCCCTTGTAAACATTCTCATTTTTTTTCTAAAATTTTTGATTTTTTTAAAAGATGTTTTTTTGACATTGGAGCACTGGGAGTACCTCAAGACTGGGAACATTGGATACTTTCACATGTTGATCCCTATCATGTACTACCCTCGTTTGCATGTCAAGTCAATATCCGCTTATGAACTTGAATGAAAATGGATGTGTAAAACATTTGGATTTATTTTACAAATGCAAAGTCTAAGTGTTTGATTCTGAAGCGATTGTGGATACGATGTGTCCCCATGCACCGTAGCTACCGATCTTATCTTGTGCCTGCACTACGTCAACAAATCGTGACGATGAGGACATTGGACTTTCCAACGTCCCGTGTGTTGGCAAGTTGTTCACAGAAGAAGCTAATGATACGTGGGCGCAGAGGTTGGATAGCCCGAGGAGCTCAATCCATGATGAATCAAGGAATGGTTGTGGTCTAGGTCATCCACGCGACGGCCACGTCGTCGAGGCGGCTTATGTCAACAACGACAGGTTGTTAGAATAAATCCGAAGGATACCGTCGATCATCCGAGGACCAAGCAATCACACGAGCACGGCACCGAGATTTGTTAACGAGGTTCATCGATATGGCTACATTTCCGGGGCCTGACTATGGGTGCTCCTCCTCATGACACCGCTACAATACCGCACCCCGTCGCCCTGGACGCCAATATGGCTCCCCTGCGTTCCGGTGCTATTATGTTGGCATAGGTTACATCGTGTGTCTAGCCCCGCTATATATGAGAGGCCTAGGATACAAGTGTCCTACTTGGACACGACTCCATGTCCTATCTAAACACAATGCAACTACAAGTCCAACTGTAACCTACCTCGTACACTATATTCGACACAACTCCAACACATGTGTTGGCTTTACTAGGGATCCATGCGTACATGTGTGTCGACCAGAAGTGTGTGGGCTGGTTTCAATCAACAAAAGCCTAGTGTACACGCTTATCTCTACTATTAAAGCGGAGTCTATAGTCGTTTAATTCGTATCGTTAGTCAACCTATGAATACAACTAAGGCTACTTTCTAGCCGATGGCTTCTATCCATCCTGGTTAACATTTGTGAAGATATTTTCTAAGTCCGGGAGCAGAAAACATAAGCTCTTCGCTAAGGCGCGAGAAGCTCAGAGGAAAGACATTGAGAGGGCATTCGGAGTGTTGCAAGCAAGATTTGAAATTGTCCAGTGAGTTGATCGTCTTCGAAACAAGAATGTCTTGAAAAATATCATGACATGCTATGCGATCTTACATAACATGATCATTAAGAATGAGAGGGATATGACATACCCTATGGACTATGAAGATGTTGGCAACCTCGCCAGCCCAAGCAGGAACGCAAACCGCATTCAAGTATTTCTTGAGGCATACTAAAATTAAAGACCGAGCCTCTCATCATCAGTTGAAGGAGAATCTCACTGAGCATAATTGGACACTAGCTGGGAGATGGTGCGTTTAAATTGCTTTAAAATTCTTTTTTTACTTGAATAATTCATTTGGTCGGATTATTTGTTGCATTTGTATTATTTATTGTATTCATATTAATGGTTTGTAATAATGAATTATGCTCATTGTTGATCTAAAATTGTTGTAAATGGGCTAGAAAGAACATATGACCCAATGACATGTGAGTCCTACTTGTAGGGAAAATATAAAGGTTGCATTATGGCGACTATGTGTTTGCGCACAACCTCCAAAATATCATGGAGCAATGCTCCATATGTGTTATGAAGGCTGAGGACTATGTTATAATTGCTCTTAGGAAAGCTAAAAGACATGTGTGCCTAATTGTTGTACCTAATTGATCGGTTGTTTAGTTGAAGGATCGTCCATGCCCATCTTCATCAAGGTGTGTGTGCGTTGTTTTCATGGTGATTGCATCAACTTGACCGTGAGGGTTGCACCACTCATTGCAAGAGCGAGTTTGAGTTTATCGTCAAAGTTGTACCTTAAAAGATTGAGAAAATAACTCGTGGCATCAATTCCCTAGTTACACCGTATCATGCAATATTTGAGATCTTAATAAATTCCATTCAACAATTTTGGCCATATATGCTAGTTATCCATCTAAAAACCATTTGAGTAGAAAAACAATCTAGTCATATTTAACCGTCATCGATCTGCCCCGTCTCCTACGACCTTAATGCCATGGAGGCATGGTGGATCCCGACCCTTGCCGGTGGGAGGGCTTTTGCTTCGTTTTTTGAGTTTGTTTAGGGTTTGTGTCCTATTCATGGAGATGAGACGATGGCGGTTCCTTGGAGATGGAATAAGGTCCTCGCCGTCCAACCCCGCCTCGAGGTGCGTCTACTGTCGTCAGATGGCATGTGGAGGTGATCTCGCAGGCTCCGGTTGGTGTTTGTCTTCGACGGATCTGCATGGATTCAGTCTTTGTTCATCTGCGTACGTGTGTCCACGGGTGATAACCCACAAGTATAGGGGATCACAACAGTTTCGAGGGTAAAGTATTCAACCCAAATTTATTGACTCGACACAAGGGGAGCCAAAGAATATTATCAAGTATTAGCAGCTGCGTTGTCAATTCAACCGCACCTGAAAGACTTAATATCTGCAGCAAAGTATTTAGTAGTAAAGTAGTATGATAGTAACGGTAACGATGGCAAAAGTAACATTAGCAGTTTGGTAGCAATCGTAACAGCGACAACGGAGAAGTAACTAAGCAAGGATCGATATGTGAAAAGCTCGTAGGCAATGGATCAATGATGGATAATTATGCCGGATGCAATTCGCCATGCAATAGTTATAACATAGGGTGACACGGAACTAGCTCCAATTCATCAATGTAATGTAGGCATGTATTCCGAATATAGTCATACGTGCTTATGAAAAAGAACTTGCATGACATCTTTTGTCCTACCCTCCCGTGGCAGCGGGGTCCTATTGGAAACTAAGGGATATTAAGGTCTCCTTTTAATAGTACCGGACCAAAGCATTAGCACTTAGTGAATACATGAACTCCTCAAACTACGGTCATCACCGAGAAGTGTCCCGGCTATTGTCACTCCGGGGTTTGCCGGATCATAGCACGTAGTAGGTGACTATAACTTGCAAGATAGGATCAGGAACTCACATATATTCATAAAACATAATAGGTTCAGATATGATATCATGGCACTCGGGCCCTAGTGACAAGCATTAAGCATGGCAAAGTCATAGCAACATCAATCTTAGAACATAATGAATACTAGGATCAAACCCTAACAAAACTAACTCGATTACATGGCAAATCTCATCCAACCCATCACCGTCCAACAAGCCTACGATGGGATTACTCACGCACGGCGGTGAGCATCATGAAATTGGTGATGGAGAATGGTTGATGATGACGATGGCGACGGATTCCCCTCTCCAGAGCCCCGAACGGACTCCAGATCAGCCCTCCCGAGAAAGATTAGGGCTTGGCGGCGGCTTTGTATCGTAAAACGCGATGAATCCTTCTCTCTGATTTTTTTCTCCCCAAACGTGAATATGTAGAGTTGGAGTTGGGGTCGATGGAGGTCCAGGGGACCCACGAGGCAGGGGGCACGCCCTGCACCCTAGTGGACAGGGTGTGGGTCCCCCTCTGTTGATTCTTTTGCCAATATTTTTTATTAATTCCAAAACTTGACTCTGTAAAGTTTCAGGTCATTCCGAGAACTTTTATTTCTGCACAAAAATAACACCATGCAAATTCTGCTGAAAACAACGTCAGTCCAGGTTAGTTTCATTCGAATCATGCAAATTAGAGTCCAAAACAAGGGCAAAAGTGTTTGGAAAAGTAGATACGCTGGAGACGTATCAACGGGTTGGATCCTTTTGATCTTTTCTTCATCAACAACGGCTACAGTTCTGGTGTGTTGTTCCTTTGGACCCTTAGCATGACGACTTCCTGACTGTCTATTGCAACAAAGTTTGTCTGTCTTCAGTGAGGGACGGGTGATGACGGCAGTGCACTTTCGGGCTCCCTCTAGTGAAGTGCTCGCTAGGTGGTATACCAACATGGATGTAATTTCTATTGCTAATTGTGTTCTTTGTACTGCCATGTTGTTTGATGAACAAATCGGATTTTTTTTAAATGCAGCGTGTGATGATTTCGGGATAAAATTGGGTGATACCAACTCCTACATGGTCCCAAGCTCCCATTTCAAAAATTCAATTTTAAATGTTTCAAAAAAACATGAGAAAATATGCATGTTCACAAGGAATGTGTCTAAAACCCTAAAATTCTAGGTCCAAATTCAAAATGGACAT